CTCCTAGTTTCTGGTGTGTGCCATCAGTCCTATATTCCTTTGTTTGTAGAGGGTCCTGGCACAGTCTCTGTATTCCTCCTGTGTGTGTACATGTCTCTGTACTTATGCCGCTCTTTATATAACTCAGATAGGAGCTCTGGTAGCGTAGTGGTTACGACTCGGGCTGTGAACTGCAAGGTCAGCAGTTCGAAACTACCAGCTGCTCCGCGGGAGAAAGATGAGGCTTTCTACTCCCGTAAAGATTTACACCCTCGGAAACCCTGTACAGGGTCGCTATGAGTCGGTTCCGACTCCACGGCACACAACAACAACATATAACTCAGAAGCAATTCGATTTTAGATCCACCCTAAACTGGTATGACTTCAACAAACGGATTACAATGCACTATAGGAAGTAACTACATTGCATTAGATTAGATTGTATCCACGATATAGGGGCTAGGATTGCAACACATATTTGGGTAGGGGGGCAGCACATAACACAAAGCATAACACTACTTGCAATTAATAGTACCTATTTTGAGGATTTCTAGGCAGGATTTATGCCTGTGGTTAAAAATTGCTTGTGCAAAAAAGGTAGTTTGCACATTTAGGGATTGAATGTGGGTTGTGTCCTAAATATCACCACCATGCTGTATCAATTGAACTGACTATATTGTTGTTAAGTGCCATCGAGTCAGTTCTGACTTATATTGACCCTGTATAGAATTTCCAAGGGCAGTTGGTGGGTTTGAAGTGCCGACCTTGTGGCTAGCAGTCGTGTTTATTCCTACAATGCCACACCAGGACTCCTACTAACTGTATGTTGTTGTTGTTGTTAAGTGCTGTCGAGTCAATTCTGACCCATAGCAACCCTGTATAGGGTTTCCAAGGAGCAGCTAGTGAGCTTGAACCACCAACCTTGCAGTTCAAATGACTTTGCAGTAGGATGCATTAACCCACAGCGCCACACCAGGACTCTACTAAGTGTATGTTGTTGTTGTTGTTGTTAAATGCCATCGAGTCGGGTCCGACCCATAGCGACCCTGTACAGGGTTTTCCGAGGGTGTAAATCTTTACGGGAGTAGAAAGCCTCATCTTTCTCCCGTGGAGCGGCTGGTAGTGTATAGGATGACCATAAATAAAGGGTAGCAGACCAGTGATAATGTGGTCACATATAACTTAGGTACTGCAATATATTACAAAAAGCTTGAAGCAAATCTTGAAAACCAGGGAAGCCAAATTAATATAGTAACTTCTATTCTAATATTAAATATACCATGCCATTATCCAGGCAAATTCTTAAACATTATAATTGCCTTAATCCTACATTTTTGAGACAACTTAAACTATAGGTATTGAAAAGAGATTTTGAAAATGTCTTTGTGTTTATAGTGTTTGGGGTTTTAAAAGCAAATCAGTGGCTATCTAAGATCTAACTATTGGTCTCTTTCATCTAGAGCAAAGGAGAAAGAAGGAAATCAAAGACCCAGAGAAGAAACTAGTTTACAAGATTAATAGTCTATATCAGGGGTGGGGAAGGTCCATTTTTAAGGCCCACGAAATTATTTGGTCTGGCCCTGCCAAGGCAACCACAGTTCCAGCTATCACATTGTTGTTAAGTGCCATCGAGATGGATCTGACTCGTAGTGACCAAGCGACTGGTGAGTTTGAACCACTGACCTTATAGTTCAAACTGACCAGGGGGAGTTAATTAAGTGTTTGACCAAATACAGCAGGCTAATTTTTACAGCTGATAATTTTGTAGGGCCCATGAAAGATGTTATAAATTTTGGCAGAAAAAGGGTTCCTTGCCCCTATGTGAACCACAGGCTCATCTCTTCAGAGACCAGAAGAACTAACTGGTACTGCTATCACTAACAGTCATTCTGATCCAGGCCACAACAAATGGATCCCAATAGACTGAGAGGATAATATGGAACAGAATTCAAAATCTTTAGAAGTTTAGACTCACTGGACTGGTTGAGATTAGAAGACTCCCTGAGACTATTGCCTGGATGTACTCCATAAACCTTGAACCAAAATGACCCTCTGAGGTCACCTTCTAGCTAAATAACTGATTGGCTCATAAAATGAAGACTATTACCAGTGAGTACTGCACACCTTTAAAAAATCATCTATATGAGACCAAATCATCAACAATTACTTTAAAGCAAAGGTGATAGAGTAAGGGAACAGATTGCTGGAATGAAACATCTAGAACAGAATTAATGAGAATGTTGGTAATCAATGTCTCTGAATTTTGTACTGAATTACAATGTCACTGAATTAGTACTGAATTGTGTACTAATTGTTCAATGGGAACCTAATTTGCTGTGTATACTTTCACTGAAAACACACCCATATATTATTTTTAAAAGTCTTTATACTTAAGATATTAAAATATAAAAGTAGCTATACTTTAACATAGTTAATATCAATATTCATGTTAATTTTTTTCATATCTATGTTAAATTTTGGTCACACCAGTTAAATAATTTAAGTGTTATCTAGATAAAGAGGACGTTCTATCCGAATGACTATTTGCTAGATTATGTGTCAGAAAATTCCCATTCATGGATACTATTGACATTTACAAACTGATATTGTTGTTGTTGTTAGGTGCTATTGAGTTGGTTCTAACTCATAATGACTTTGTGTTCAACAAAATGAAACACTGTTTAGCCCTGTACCATGCTCATAATTTTGTTCTTTTTTTGAGCCCATTGTTGCAGCCATCTCATTGAGGGTCTTTCCTATTTTCACTGACCTTCTACTTGACCAAATATATTCTTCTCCAGGTCCCCTCCACATGACATGTTCAAAGTACATGAGACAAAATCTCACTGTCTTGGATTATAAGGAGCTTTCTGGTTATACTTCTTCCGAGACAGATTTGTTCATTCTTCTGGCAGTCCATGATGGCATATTAATTATTATTCACCAACATCATAATTCAAATGCAGCAATTATTCTTCCTTCTGTATGAATATGAAGTGATTAAAAATATTATGGCTGGAGTCAGGAGCACCTTAGTCCTGAAAGTGACATCTTTGCTTTCTAACACTTTGTTGTTGTTGTTAGGTGCCGTTGAGTTGGTTCCGACCCATAGCGACCCTGAACAGGGTTTCCAAGGCTGTAAATCTTTAAGGGAGCAGAAAGCCTCATCTTTCTCCCGCGGGGCAGCTGGTAGTTTCAAACTGCTGACCTTACTATCCGCAGCCCAATTCATAACCACTACGCTACCAGAGCTCCTTTTCTAACACTTTAGAGAGGTCTTTTTGCAGCAGATTTGCTCAATGCAATATGCCTTTTAGTTGCTTTACTGCTACTTCTATGGACGATGGTTGTAGACACAAGTAAAATGAAATCCTTGACAACTTCAATGTTTTCTGTATTTATCATGATATAGCTTATTGGTCCGGTTGTGAGGATTTTTGTTTCCTTTCTGTTAAGATATAATCCAAACTGAAGGCTATAAAATTTAATCTTTATTAAATGACCCTGCAGAGTTCACCATCCACCATGGGTCTTCAAGGATGTGTGATCTTAGGGTTGTTTCCTGGGGGATATTTCCTAAGGCATGTAACTGTTGTCCCAACAAAAGCCCCTTCTCACTCCCTTGGGCCTCCAAATCCAGGATCACATACTGTATGTAAGGCATACCATATTCTACTCATCTTACAGTATTCATGAGAGTTCTCTGTGGAGAAGTATGCCAGGCTATTAAAGGAGAAACATGGTGGACCCAGATGACTGTCTCCATCCACTTAGGCTTCTCTTTCTAGAGCAGTTGGCCAAGAAGACGTCTGTCTCAAAAGAACTTTCTCAGTGTCTAACAAATTCTCAGTTAAGAAATTTCATACTTTTCTCTGGGGGTGATGTAAAGAAAGCAGAATCAACATCCACTGAATTAATTTTAATTCTTGAAAAGTTTTTTTTTGTCTGAATAAGTGAATTTCACAGCCATCCATACACATAGGGTTAATTGGTAATTGCCTGGAGAAAGTTGTCTTTCAATAAACTTTAAAATTTAAGGTATATACTTTCTAAGGCATTTATTATCATATTAAACTCTGATGTAACAAGGTGGAAATGTATGTATCTTGATACAGTAACATTTAAAATCTTTGCAACAGTAAAACACTTGGAAAATTATTGTTTTGAATTATTGTCCCTCGATATCAAGGACCTGTAGGGATACCACTCTGTGTTTGTTCAAGGATCAATTTTTTTTCTTTTTATTAAAGTTTTTATTGTGAATTGAGTGATAGTTTACATGGGAGAACATCGGTTTTACACTCATTGTTTCATTGCAATGATTACAGTCCCCTCTGTATCACCATTCAATAGTATTTGCTTCTATTCCCTCTGTTTTTTGGGGGGTGAGGTGGGGTGGGGTGGGTGGGATGTACACAAAAACACTTAGGAATATATAATCTTTTAAACAACCAAAGTGCACATTCTGCAAGCCTGCCTCCTGGCCACCAGCACACAGTCATTCTCCCTTCATGAGTCTAGAGTCCTCAGCTGCTCTGTCTTTCCATGTCTTCATCTCTGCCATCATTGCTTCTCTGGATAAGGCCCCACATTCTGCTCATGACCTTCTCCCTTGATGGTCCTAGGGTCCTCTGTTCCTAGAATATAAGATTAACTACTCCCCCTTTTATGTTACAAAACTTCTACCTTACAGTTGTGACAATCACAATTAGTCATGGTAACAATTACTCACTGTTGAATAATAGGAATCTTATCCCCATCTCCTTTCACCAGACCTGTCTAGACAAGATGAAAACTATTCAGTGGGAATTCTACCTTCCCCTGCATATTCTGAAATTAAACTCCCTCTTGAAAACTTGTAAGCCAGTTCCTTGGTGACTTTATAGCTCCCCCATTTTAGGTAGCCAATGTCTAAGTTGTCCATTCCTATCAACCCTGCCTACAGAGGGAATAGGTTGAAGATTCCTTCCCTGTTAGTTGATATTTACAGCTACTACATTCAAGGATCAAAAATTTAAAGTTTAAATTTCAGCTCCTGAATTTAGGTTTTGTGTCTTTTCTGAAGAAGAATCCTCAGTGAATATTGACTCAAACAGAGCAAGAATGGACTTCTTGAAAACTTTTTTGAAGTTTTCTCCAATAAATAGGTACAGTGTGGGAGAAAAGGCAGTATTGAAGGAAGTGGTTATTACTGTAAGTATCAGAGCTAACTGTAAAAATAGTGAATGCCTCTCAGTGAGAATTAAGCCCTGGTATATATGGTAGGGCATCCAACACACAAAGAAAGAGATAATGGCTGTCATCATGACTTTGAAGGGTTTGCTGGACTTGACTAGGCCTTTCTCTTTTATCTTGTGGGCTACTCTCCCATAAGAAACAACAATGATGAAGAAAGGCAGAAGGAAGCCCAGCAAAAAGCGGCTGATGAAACAGGACACATGAATCCATTTCCGCAATGCTTGTATCTCTTTGCTTTCCCAGTTAGCAGACATAGCATAGTTATTTCGACAGATCACAATTCCTTTTCCATTGTCATGTGTCTCCCTGAAAAACAAAAAGGGCATGCTGAGGGCAGTGGCACAGATCCAAACTCCAATGATGATGTTGTAAGCCAACTGTGGGGTTCGGTGCTGACGTGTCCACACTGGATGAAGAGTTAGAAGATAGCGATCAAGGCTAATGGCTGAGAGGAAGTAAACAGAGGCATACATCCCCAGAGACAAAGTACTGTTGAAGACTTTGCACATGGCAATTCCAAAGTTCCAGTGATTGTTCTGAAGGTAGGAGGTGGCCATAAATGGTATAATCAATGTTGAAATAAAATATGAGAGAATGAGATGCAAAAATAACAGCGTATTGACCGTCTTTTTCATTCTGAATTTCAGCACCCAGAGGTAGAGGCCATTGGTGATGATACCGATTATAAATGATATGAGCAAAAGAAACGCAATGAACAGACTGGTCTTTGAGTCAGGATATGGAACAGAAGTGCTGCTGCTTGCTAAAGTGGAGGCATTGTCCTGGTGATGAGTAGAATTGATCAGGTACATGACTTCCTGTGTACTGCGAAGCTGTGAAAATAACAACAAAAAAGAAGAAGCAAAAATAGGTTAATTATAGAGATTAAAAATAGGAATTTTTGCAGATCAGTAGCTAAAATCATAGGATTTTAACAATGCCAAGCATACTCTTTCTACAGTCTAAAATACAGAGGGTGGGGGTCTTCAAAAATTTCGTGGAGAGGACATAGCTCCGGGCGGAGAGATAGACTTCTTCCTGATCCTTCTTCTGTGCCCCATACAGCTTTCCCAGCAGAGCTGCCAGAGCTTCAGGGAGCCACAGCTAGTGAATTCATATTCTTCTGAGAAGTAGAAAAGTACTGCATGGGGAAGAAATACACTCCCTAATTTCCAACGCCACCTAAATGATGATGATGTCACTGGTTCTGTGAAAAGTGAAAGGAGAAATCTTTTGGAAGGGGATTCAGATGAAGAAGAGGACTTGTTTCCTAAGGGGACCATCTGGAATAAGATTTAAACGTAGAAATTATAAAATTCTGCATGCTCAGAATCAGATGGATGAAGTTATCGATGTCATGACATGCAAGAAAGTATCTCAAAGGTCATTGAAAGAGGGGAGACACTAGATGACGACAGGACTCCTGCCGTGGCACTGTAGGATCGGCACTGGACTGCGAAGCACAAGCTCTATAGTTCAAACTCAACCAGCTGCTCCTTGGAAACCCTATCCAGGGTCACTATGAGTCAGAACTGACTCAATGGTACACCACCAGTCCACCAGTCCAGCTCATCATTCTTATAGTTTTGTAATACCAGGCTGTATTTTATGACAGATTTTCGTCAAACAAGATCTGGGACAATAATAATAATAATAAAAGATTGCTGCAAAATTTAAATCAAACCTATGTATATACTTTCAGAACTTTTTCAAGAAACTAAAAGGCAAGCATTACTTCAAATTGAAGCATTGAAGGTGTCCAATGATCTTCTGCCCTTGTAATAAAATGCGTTTTTAATAATTAAGTTGAATGCAGAAATAGACAGCCTCTATTTTGCTATTTTCAAAGGATTAATCTCACAGTGAGCAGTTTGAAACTACCAGCAGTTCCGTGGGAAAAAGATGAGGCTTTCTGCTACCGTAAAGATTTACAGCCTCAGAAACCCTGTACAGGGTCGCTATGAGTCGGAACCAACTCCACGGCACATAACAACAACACCAAATTTGAAAGTAGATACTTGCCAGCTCATTATTTGTCTTTATAGTTTAACACTGATGTTGATATTTCATACTATTATTTTAACGGCATAGGACTTGAATGAACTATTTCCTCAAGGAGTCTGAATGTGTATAGAGTACCAAATCACTATTCTTAAAAAGATGCATAATCATTTTGTCAGTCCTTTCAAGATTATTCTTCTCACAGTGCAGTTGCTTTACAAGCAATTTCCACATGTTTGTGTACAACCAAAGCTAATAGTTGTAAATGTTGCTACCTTCAGGAATAACTAGCAACATTCCAGTAAACCTATCTTTTAAGAGTCCTGGTATGGTGCTGCAGGGTATGCACTAGATGGCAAGGTTGGTTTGAATGGCAAAGTCAGCAGTTCAAATCCACAAGCTGCAGATTGGAAACCATATATAGGGTCACCATGAGTTGGTTCCGACTCGATGGCACTTGACAACAACAACAACATGAGTCAGAAGCAATTAGATGGCACTAAACAACGAACCTATCTTTTCCTGCACAAGGGAATGTGTAGTAACTTTATGGTATTTGGTTTATGGAAATGGGAAACATGAATAGTATAAAAAGCTTAGTATGTCACCATAAAGCTAGAGATAATAAAATTACTGAAGAACATCCTTGAACTGTATGAAAATGACCAACACGTAGCTTCAAGTCATGCTCTAGTCTCCAATTAGGGGAGGGATCAGTGATAATATGAGTGAACGAATTTCACAGGTAATTTATTCCCTTTTTTTTTTTTTATTTTTTAAAGAAGTTTTTATTGTGAATTGAGTTAGAGTTTACAGGGCAGATTATCAGTTTTACATTCAACAAATCATACACCTTGTTTCATTACTATGATTATAATCCCCTCCATGTACCATCAGTTAACAGTATTTCTCTCTATTCACTTTATCACTTAAAAAAACACCACACACACACAAAAAAACAGAAACCAAAAAAACTCTCAGGCATGTATAATAATTTACACCACCAAAGAGCACATTCTGCAAGTCTGCCTCCTGGCCACCAGCGCTTAGTACCTCTCTTCCCATGAATCTAGAGTCCTCAGCCACTCCCCCTCTCCATGTCCCCATCTCTGCCTTTGTCTCAGGCATTGCTGCTTCTCTGGATAAGGTCCCGCAATCTGCTTGTGCTCTTCTCCCTTGATGGTCCTAGGGTCCGCTGTTTCTGGACTGTAAGATTAACCACTCCCCTGTTTTTGTTACAAAACTTCTACCTTACAATTGTGACAGTCACAATTAGTCATGATAACAATTACTCATTATTGAATCATAAGAATCTTATCTCCATCATTTTAACCAGACCCATCTAAACAAGATGAAAACTATTCAGTGGGGACTCTTTCTTCCCCCACACATTCTTAAACTAAACTCCATCATGAAACCTTGTAAACCAGTCACTTCATGCCTCTATAGTCCCACTACCCCCATTTTAGGTAGCCAATGTCTAAGTTGCCCATCCCTATCTACCCTTTGTACAGAGGGGATAGCATTGATCCTTGATGTGAAAACTCCTTCCCTCTCTTTGGTATTTAGAGTTACTACCTCCATGAGTATAGGTCAGGTTCATCAAATTGTAGCAATGTATCCTTGTTTCCTTTATTTGAAAAAAAAACCCATATATATATTTTAATCTTCCTGTAGTGGAGTTCTGATTATCAAGGCATCAAGGCTAGGTCAAATGGGTACTGTCTGCAAGTTTGGGTGTTCTTGTGCATCTCCTCTCACTTCATATCAGCTGGATGCTTCACTCTCAGCTCTAGCCCTCTGTGGCTATGTTCTTGTCCATGAGCTCAGGTGTCCCCAGGTCTCACCACACTTTGGACCAATCACCCCTTCCTCTTCTCTCTCTCATCTCCAGATCAATGGGAGTCAACGGACTGTGGTTGAACTCAGCCCATTTCTTTACTGCTGCCTTTCCCCCTCTTCCACTCACTAGTAGAACAATGTGGTCACCAGCAAGCTTATATACCTGCTCATGTGTTCCTTTGAGTTTCAGTCTTAGAAGGAAGTTTGTCCTAACGGAAATTGAGTGCTTATCTTGATGGCTTTCCGGTGAACAGCCTGCTTATTCTTGTAGTAGCCAGTCATTTTGACCTTTTTGTTTTGGGTTTTTCCTGATGATCTTTCTTTGAAGATGTATCTTCTGTTGTTCTAGGTGTTCCAGGCTGGTCTGCTTGTCCTTGCTTGTGGGAATGTCCCACCTCAAATGTTCTGAATTGGACTCAGGATTCCACCTATGGTCCTATACTCTGCAAAGGCTCTTCAAGAAGCCTATTTCACTGGGCAAGTACTAGAACCCCTTTTAGGTATTCCAATTAGTTATAGACTGAAGAAAGGCTTACCCAAGTTTTCTGTAATTATGTTTCCCAACATTCTTTTCTATCCTACTCAAGTGTGTATTACAATAGTAGGCAAGGGAAACCAATATCCATAAGGCAGTCAAGCATCTTTGGTATTATTTTCTCTCTTCAAACTATGCCTAGATCCCTGTATAACAGAACCCTATTGTTCCAAGGTTGAGCATACATCACTATTTACTTCTGTCCCACTTAGGCCATGCAAACCTGTCTCAGTGTTCCCCTATCTATCTTGTTCTTTCACCTCCTCCCTCTTCTTGTATTGCCCTCCCCAACACCTGAACTAAATCCTCCACCCCAATCCCACAATGGTGGTTACCTTATATTCCATTAACTTTTCCCTCCACTTAAGACAGTCTATTTTATCCTGTAATCTATCTGATCTTCCTACCAACTGGATCTCTGTTCCTCTGTGTTTACCTTCTTTCACATTGTAATTGTTTTGATCATAGACTGACCTTCCAGATCCTCTGTTCTTATAATTTTATTCTGTTCTTGAATCTTACATTTGTCGATTGAGTTCAGGGTGATGCTGCCACATACGTCATTCTCTGGTTGTTGTCTGTTCTTGTTGCTTCTCAGTCCACAGAACTCCCTTTAGGATGTTTTTCATAGCAGGGTTGGCTTTGGCAAAATCCCTTATCTTCTGTTTATCCTGGAATGTTTTGATTACACCATCATATTTGATTGACAGCTTTGCTGGGTAGAGGATTTTTGGTTGGCAGTTTTTTTCTCTCAGGGTTTTATATATGTTTCCCCATTGCTTTCTTGCCTGCATGGTTTCTGCTGAGAGATCCGAGCTTAATCTGATTTGCTTGTCTTTGTAGGTTGTACTACCTATTCCTTAGCTGCTTTCAGGATTCTGTCCTTATCTTTGATTTTGGAGAGCTTGATTATGATATGTCTTGGTGATTTTCTTTTAGAGTCTATGCATCCTGGGGTTCGTTGAGCTTCTTGAATGTTTATCTTTTTGCTTTTCAGGATGTTAGGGAAATTTTCTTCCAGAAGCTCTTCAACTATCTCCTCTGTGGGCTTGTGTGATTGTTCCTGTTCTAGAATGCCAATAATTCTTATGTTATTCCTCTTTATGTTATCCAACATGAATCTTAGGCCTTCTTCAGATTTTTTTATACTTTTTTTCTTCTTGCTCGTCTATCTTACTAGTGTTGAGAGATTTATCTTCTAGCTCACTAGTTCTGGCTTCTATCTCTTCAGTTTGACTTCTTTGCCCTTTCAGTGTATTGTCTATTTCTGATATCTATTATTATTTGTTTGGACCTCTTTCTATAGATTTTGAATTGTTTCCAATGCTGTATCTATCTGATTTGATTGTTCCTGTAGTGCTTTCCTGACTTCTTCCTTATTTTTCTCAACTCCATTTTATAGTGTTTTGATACATTTTATAATTATTTTTCTGA